TGTGTAAAATTAAGGAAGGTTGCTGTATTCTCTCTGCCTTCGCTCTCACAAAATGAAAAGCACACCCAGTGCAAGTTGTCCTTTGATAGATTTTTAATATGATTTTAAAGAGTGTTGTTTGGCCTCATTCTTATTCAATGAGATTAATTTAAAGCACTTATCCCCTGGGTTTAAGTCAATCCATGTAGGATTTGGGCCTGGGTTTGGTGCATGGGGGGTTTTGTTTGCATGCCGCTCTGAGAGACTCCTTTCCCACTTCATTAACCCTGAGCTGGGACAATCCCTCCCATCCAGAGCCGAGGATTTACCAAACCCCACCATTCACATGCAAAGAAACAGCACCTTCCACAAAGGCAAGGGGGCTGCTTGACTTAATGAGTGGCTGTGCATTTTGCAAAATCATAACAATGCCACATACTGCCAGGAAGAATAAAAAAAAAAAGTAGGAACAGGGTCAGCTCTGGCCCTGGCTCTCCTGAGGCCTGTGAGACTCTGGCGGTTGTTTCTTGTAAAGCTTCATCCCCCCATCCCTAGCACCCCATTGCCCCTAGAGCTCTCCAGTTGTCTATTGTTGCAATGTGAATGGCTAGGCCTGGCCGGTTCCCCCTTTCCCAGAGTCCCCAGCTGGGGGGTGTCATTGTGGCTGAGAAAGGGCTAGTTGTGTTTGAACAGTGGCAGCTCCCCCTGCCCAAGGGGGCGGGGGGGTTCCCGGCTGGGGGCTGGGGCCAGGTGGGTGGGTTTGGGTGGCTTTGTGTGGAGGGGTTTGCAGCTCTGGGTGGGGAGAGGAGACGAGGGGGTGTAGCCTGCAGGGGTGGGAGGGCCATTCTGAGGAACAGGAGGGGCACCCCATTTAGCAATTGACTGGCAGGGGCAGAGGGGTGCCTCTATACTACGATTTACGGGGGGGGGCCACGGGAGCTGGGACCTGCTGCAAACCGGGATCTCTCCCCTCACCTTCCCCCCCCGGACCACTCCTCTCCCCTCCCTCCTTTGCAGGGGGAGGGCAGCGTGCGCTCGGACGGGGGCGGGGGGCGGAGGGGAGC